CTCACTGGCATTACCAGTGGCTCATCACATTATTGACATGATGGCGAAAGAGATCTGATAAACTTGTATTTAAATTGCATGACAAATTATTGCACCTTCATTTTGTAGTGTGAGAGATGCATTAGAATGACATTTTTTTGGGAATTTCATCCAGAGGTTAAAAGAATTCTCAGACTGTAGATGAAGTCATCTGATCATTAAAAAGTGGTATTTTTTCTTTGAAAATCAGCTCTTGTTTGTGCAAATGAGGGTATGAATACAAAGATTTGGGGAATATTCTTGTTGTTTGTTTGAGTTTTTTTGAAGGGAGATAGTATCCATTGATATGTCGAAGATATCAAAATATGTTGCAAATGGCTTTTACTTTTAATGGGGATATTTTATCCCACTTGCTCAGCGGGATGAAGCAAGCAGAGCTATCGCAAAAGCTTCCATTGAAAGATACTTTGATGCGTTTCTTATTTGTTATTTTTCAAAATACTTTAACACCTCTCCAAACACAGCATAAAAAACCAGTTTATTCCCTCAACAATTCAAAATTTAAATAATTCCAAAATTCTCAGCAGAACCTGGAACCTCTGTGGCCTTTCAGCCCGCTGACTGGATGGCTGGATGTTTCAGCAGGAATATAGCTCTGCTCCTGGCTGTGATGCCACAGGAGCTCCTTCAGCTTATCAATAAGGCCATTAATGCCAAACAGCAGTATTGCTTTTAGAAGCAATATTACAGAAACTTCACAGAAGTCCACAACCCATAAGATCAGAGCTCAGCTGTCTGCAGCAGCTGCTGTGTCTCACCTGAACGTTTCCCTCAAATGTGCCCATTCTCATTGCTAATGACTGACCTGCTGGCCCTGAGGTTTGCAGAGAGAGGTCTGAAGGCTTTCCTAGACATGTTGACAGAAATATTTAATAGGCAATGTGAGCAGACTTTAGGAAGAGGGAAAACACAATAATTCTTATACCAAAGTAAAAATCAGTGTCTGTAGCTTCCAGAGAGTGTCTGCCACTTCTGGGCTCCAGTCTGGCTTGCCCAAGCTGGGGCTCTCTTGTCCCAGGCTGGCACTCCAGCACGTGTGTGGCTGTGGCTCCAAGAGGTGGCTGCTGCAGGGGCAGACACAGCACATGCACATACACACAATGTATTTTTCACTTGCTACCCTTACTGTTTTAAAAAACAAAGGAAAATTTGGAAAATAAAGGTACTTCCAGTCCATGACTGAGCACGCACCCAAAACAGCAGGGTTTTATTTGTGAATGTGAAATATTGGCACTTGTGCATTTGTCCTGGACCAACTGAGCATTTCTCTGAAATTTAGGTAAGCTGAGGAACATCTCACCTACTTCAGGCTGATGTTTCCCCATGTATCCCCTAGCAATGAGCCACTCTTCCTGCTGGCTGGTGGCACTGTTGTCCCCAAGGGGCTGAGGGTGAGTGTTTGGGCTGGAGTTACTGCCCCATCAGACTGCCCACAGCAGCTGTGAGCTCTGCCCAGGCCTAAAGGAGATGCTATTTTGGGAGGCACCAGGACCCAGCCCAGATAGGAAAACATCTGTTTTAGGAAGCAAGCAACCTTTAAGTGCTGCATCCTTACATGTACAATGAATGTTCGAGTGAATCACTTATGAGGGGAAAAACACGACCATTTTGGCAAATTTACATACTACATAATTAAAAACAACAATACAGTGTTAGCTACAATGGATCAAAGAGCTAGTGCCAGTGTAAATGGTAAAGAATGTCTATTCTGAGATTTTCCAAGGATTGTACATTCAGCATTATTTAAGTTCATTGACAGTACAGTTTGATAGATGTTACTCAGTCACTGACCTGGTAGTACATGTAAGAAAAAGATGGGTGGGGATTTTTAACATCAGAGAAAGAAAACTGCCTACTTTGGTAACCTCATTTGTGGCAATCCACTGAGCACTCAACATGTTTCTTCCTTCACAGGCAGCAAAGTAATGCACTGTTTGAGGGGCACTACTGTACAAGGATAAAAACTTAATAATTTGGAGGGAGGGGAGTATTTCTTGCAGATATTTATAATTTTAGATCACTGACTTCACAGTCTTTGAATCAAGTGATTTCATGATCAGCAAGATCCTAAGAGGAACATTTGAGATAGCACTTGTATCTTTCCTTACAGAAAGCCACTGGCACCAGGGCTGGGTAAACATGAATCCAGCCAGTGTGGAGAAATGCTACTATTCCATCCCATGCCTGGATGCCTATGGGAATTTAGCACATAATTTTTTTTCTACTAGCAACCTTTCTGTTTGTTAGAGTCTGAGATACAGAAGAAAAATATCAAAACAGGAAAAAAAAAACCCACTAGCCCTGGATTCTGGGATTTTTCTTTATTCCAGTCAATGCTGTTGACAGCATTCTTGTCTTTGTGTTGTGTTCATCAAACTCCACAGCTTTTCTTATAAGATTTCAGTCTTTCTTCATGGAATGGTATTAAGCAAGATTCAAATACTACTTCTTAGATTTCTGTGCAGAATATCTTACTTCAGTCAAAATCAAGCTGTTGACAAAAAGGGAGTTACAGAAGCAGAAGGTTTGGTTTTTTGCCAAAGCCTTACCTCGCTTTTACTGACCAAAAAGTGTAAGAAAACTCAAGGGCCAGGTTTGTGTCCACAGTTTTCTCAAGCAGGCTAGGCACTGTGCTCCACAGGGGAGAGGGGCTTGATCAGGGACACTAGTGCAGCTGATTGCCCTGAAAGAAAACCCTCCTGTTTATCAGTTGCCTTATGTCAAGGAAGTGCTAAAAGGAATTTTCCAGCTGTTGCTCCTAAATGCCAAAACTCACTGAGTTGAATTTATTCATCTACCTGACTATATCTGAGAGCAAAAGCGATCTGTCATTTCTGATCTTGCCTTTGCATATGATCCACACATTAGGACCATGGGTCAGGGAAAGAAAAGCCAAATGAGCAGCATTTTTCTGAACCAGTTTCCCTGCCGAGAGAGCTGTGTAAGAATGATGCCTTAGGCAGGCTACCTACTTCTCTGGGTGAGCAGCTGAAAATTGCATTTGGGGTCCCTCACCTTTGTTCTGCATTTGTTCCTTCACTGCCTCGTGCTGAGCAGGAGACCCAGGGGATGGTGTCCTCTTTAAAATGCATCTGATTTCTGACAAGCCCATAATGGAGCTGTCAGCTTCCTCCTGTGACCAAACTAACTGGTTCCTCACCAAAGAAGCTTATATGCTCTTGTAGTCTTCAGCTGGTGATGAATCAATGATAAGTGTTTGGGAAGTGTTTAGGAAAAATTTAAAAGAAATTGAAAGCCAGCTTCAGTACTGACATAAAGCTCAAACTTGATCTTCTTAAACTGTACATCAAGAAAAAAACTCAAAGAATGCTTTACAAAGAAAGCACAAGGTGTTGCTAAGATCAGTAGCAATATGTCTAACTATATTATTTATCCAGCAAGGTGTTCTTCCTGGATAAAAGCACTACAAGACAGTGCAATGCCCACCTCCAGGTAAAGTGTTCAGAATCCAAAGACAAAATTCTCTCTTAAATTGGTAGCAAAATTCTTTGGCTTTAGTGGGAGCAGGTGAGACTTGCTGTATTTTCCTTTTAAAGAACCCCAAATGGCACAATGGTTACTTTATGGCAACAACAAAATGAGTCACTTGTCTCAGTCTATCCATCAAGTTCCTAATGGACACGTGTCCACATATAAAAAAAAATCCAATTAGTGTTAATTGGCATCCTTGCCTGCAGTTTTTGTGGAGAACTCAGTAATAAGCATGGGAGCAGAACTCCTTTTCACCCCAAGAAAGGTCTCCCCAGCAGACCAAAAGGCTCTGGGTGTTGGCACTTGGAAGCTTTGTTACCATTACAGGGGCCATGTACAGAGCTTTGGCTCCTGAGGCTGGCACTGGGGTCCCATGAGAATGAAAAACCCCTTGTGCTGCTGGCTGTTCACAGGCTGGTGTTGGCCCTGGAGAGCTGGGGACGTCTGGGGACAGTGCTGGGGGCAGCTGTCTGGGCCATGGCATACTGCCCTAAGACACCCTATAGCAGGAGATAGTGTTTCTTCCCTAAAATAGGGAAGTGAACAGCAGAACAAGAATTAGCTGGTCTGGAGATCTTTATCTGCCAGCACTTCACCAGGTATTGTCCCACAGGAGTCAAAAAGTCTGTATTATTGCTAATAATACAGTAATAATCACACAGTGCTTATTTAACATGTTTGATTGGCTGTTTTCTTCCTCTCAAAGGCCACTGTCCTCTTGACAGTGATGAGTTTAAGACCATGGTTTGCACACCACACAGTGTTACAGGCACTGACTTAGCAGGAGAGCAGGCTTAAAGCATCTTCCTCTGGGAAAAAGACTGCAGAGCATCAATCAGCCCATGTCCACTGCTGAAAAGTCATTTTTGTGGTTGTCACAGGGACTGGAGGATGTCCTTGAGTAACTTCTGAAAGTAAAGAGAGATGGTGCTCCTCCATCACTTGTATGCTTTAGATTTTCAAAAGTTTTATAAAGTAGTAGAGCAGAGAAAACTGCTGTGGATAATTTTCCATAGAGCTGAACACCATTGCTTTTAGATCCTTTCCAGGCCTGATTTAAGGCCTGGTTGGATGGGGCTCAGAGCAACTTGTTCTAGTAGAAGGTGTCCCTGTCCACGGCAGAGTCTTGGAACAAGAGAATCTTTAAGGTCCTTCCAGCCCAGACAGTTCTATGATTCATTAACCACATAAGTTTATGCATATGATTAAGTGAAACAATGGGTGACACCTAGAAGCAGACCCTCACAGCACACCTGCTGCTCCCCCTTTGCTTTCTGGCTTCCAGTTTACTCTGATCCCCCCACACTCTGAAGTCAGCAATGACACAGACAGTGAAGTTGAAAGAAGTGATTTCCCCTCCTGGCTTTGGCTGCCTTCTGGTAACATCCATGGTGTTTGCTTTTTTCCTGCTTTTGGTTTTGTTCTTTGTTTGTTTGCTTTCATTGTTTGTGGGGTTTTTTGTTTGTTTTGTTTGGTTTTTTTCTTTTTGGTTTTGGAGGGCTTTTTTTAGTTTGGTTTGTTTTCTGTTTTTTGTTGGTTTTTTCAATCTCCCAGGGGTTATATGTTTGAGGATTTTTGTTTGCTTTTTGGGTGGTTTTTTCTTTTGTGTGTTGTTACCTTCCAATCTTCTTGTTCAGTCAGCTGTCAGTGGCTCGTGTCTGTCAGTAGCACTGCTGGTGCAGACCAGCCACACCAGCTAAACGTGTGGCAGGATTGGACTGTTCTGTCAGGTTCTTGGGTTGGACTCATTTCTCCAGCAGTGGCTGGTGAGGAAAAGATGCAATGAGAGGCAGAAGCTGAAATTTTATTCATTTTCCTCCATCTTGGTGCTTGCATTTGCCTGTCTTACAAAAAAGAGAAATCTGGTTTCAGTAGCAACATAAGGTCTCAGGCAGAGTTTTCTTCTTCCTGCCCATAAACGGGAGTTAATGTTGATTTAACAGGACAGCAGCAGTCTGTCAAACTGGACCAAAGAGGATAAGATTAACATAAATGTCACTTAAATTTTAAGTGATTTTTTTTTTCCTGATTCTTATTTGTATTTCCTGAAAAAGACCAAGTTACCCTGCCTTATTTGTCACAGTGAAATTCATACATTTTTACCTTTCCTCCTGCTCCAAGAAAATGTTAGCTTTGAAGTGCCATTAAATGCAGTTGTTGCAATGTGTTTGTAAGTACCCTGTTGTACACTGATAATTTATAACTACACCATAACTACTACCCAGATACACAAATTAACACATATAAAACAAAGCACATGAAATACATTTATAATTACTTTGCTAAAATAGAAAATAGAGTTAATTTCCCCTTACATATTCTGCCTAATAATTTATATTAACAATTACAAAAATAAACTGCTACATTAAAATAATTTAGAAAGAACCATAATTCACCTTAGTTTTCTGAGCTTCTGTGACTGTGAGTCAAAGTGGGAATTGGAGCAGGTTTGTGGCTTTCCTGTCCTCTGGGTTGCAGCTGGGATATGTTGGTGCTTCTGACAGTTTTTTTCCAAAGGAATGGTTGGTAACAGCATCACAATATCTCAGCATTCTCTACTGATTTGCTTCTTGTTTTCAGGAAGCCTCTGCCCCATGGCTCTGCAAAAGAAGCAGGAAAATCCATTTGGTCCTTGGGACTATTGTGTCACATTGCCAGACTGAACTTTGAGCGAGGCATTCATCGTTCTGCAGAATATGATCTTCCCAACAAAACACACATTAATTCTTTTTGTCTGAGGCCAAGAGTAGTGTCTCTCATAATCAGTGTTGTCCATGAGCACACTGATTCATTAATTCTTATCTCTTGTTGAAGTACTTACAGTGGTAAAAGTGAGATTAAATTTGGGCTCAGAAAATATTCCATTAATGCAGCTGCAATCAATGTCAGAGCAATGGCAATAATAAGACACATACAAAACTCATAGTGCTTTTATACTATAAATACTGAACAAGTGTTTATTTAAAATAGAATTTCAGAGGCAGAAATATGATTTTAAAAGCACAAATCTCACTTAAATGGATCTAATTCAAAAACTATTTGTAGTATTCTTTCTTATGAGCATTTAAAAGTCTCTGAAAAATGAGTTTGACCTAAATTAGAATATATGAATGTTATTTTCTTAACAGAAACATTCCCAAACCAACCTAGGTTGAAGAAAATATTTTTTTCCAGTAGTTTATAGTAATATAATTATTTACCTTTATTATTTGAAATAAAAAACGAATATTAACTGGAATATGAAAATAAAAATTCATTCATAAGAAAACCCCAAACTTTTTTTCTATTCTATGCAGAGAAAACTGGAAATTCTCCTGCATAAAGAAAAATATTTTGTTGAATTCATGTTTATGACTGATTAAATTTTCGTTAAGTAACTTGGACAACTTTTGTTTGAGTGTTAATCAGATTAAGACATGCTAAAACTTAAAGTTCTTGATTTATAGAACAGAGACTAACTAAGATGTGTTGAGATGCACTTTGATTTCTGAATTACTGGATGAATTCTTTGTGTCTGCGCTCTGCAGTAGATAGGCTTACAGTAACAGCCCTTCTGCCTTTAAAATTTATTGACCACATCACTTCATATAAAATCATTTTGTACTTTCTATGCTGATTTGCAATAGATAGAAGACTCCAGCTCCAAACCACATACTTGAATAAACACCTGAAAGTGCTCAGAAGGTTTTTATTTATCCACAGAAGGAGCACTGAGCAATCAGGATTTCTAAGAAACTTCAGAAAGCTGATGAAAGAAGCTAAATGCATTGGAACAAATCTGATACTGCAGATTTCCAGTGGCTTACCCGTAAGGATGAAACAGCCAGGCTTAGCTCAGCTTCCTGGCATGCAGCGGGTGCACTGATGTGCTGGGCTTACACACACTAAAATCCACATGTCTTAAGTAAATTTTCACTATACTCCTGCAGCATCACTTCACTGTTTTTCCTTGGCTTCCTCTCAGGCTTTATCTCCACTGCTCTTTCCCAAAGCTTCTCATTTTTTGATCTTTTCAAAGCTCGTGTCCTTCTCTTTTGTGTGCTAGTTGAGGCACACACCTGCATTTACTGGGATTTTAAATGTTGCAGTCCCTGTATTTGGGTAGAAAAGAGAAGAAATACATCATGTTCAGCAACAAAAGAGGAAATAGCATTCATCTTCCTCAGTTTTCTTACTATCTGTAGCTTTTTCAAGGTTATGTCAGTTTTGGGTCACATATTAACACTGCCCACAGGAATATTTTTTTTTCCACATTCTACAGTTTAAACAGATCTAAGCAGTTTACATTCACTTTGGCTGGCCCAACAGCCACAAATAGTCTCTTCCACAAAAGCAGATCCTCTTTTTCAGTCCTCTTTCTTGAAATTCTCTTTCCCTGTGTGTCCTTCCTCTCAGCATTTAGTGATTGTTTTTTCTTGGTTTTTCTGGCCTTGAAATTCCAGTCCCCATGGACAAACTTGTCTTTTGCTAGTGAGGAACACCACGAGCCCTAGATGCTCCTGCTCGTGTGTTTAGCAATCTTCTGCTGCTTCTGGTCACAGACATAAGCAGTACGGGTCTGCCAGCATCTGCTGGGTCTCACTTTTGCAGGAATGTTAGGAGTACTCGTAACAAAGCAGATTCAAAAATTCACTGAATCAGAATTCAAAAATCAGACATTGATTACTTGAGCTGTAGAGTCATCTTTTTTCCTTGGGGAGCAATATATAGGAGTTTGTCAGAGTGATTGTCTTGGATCCTAATCATTGAGAAAAATAAAGAAATTAAAGGGATTTACCCGTTTAAAAGTTCTGACGTTGTACCAGATGGTTCTGGAGGTCCCTTTTAATCTGGTGTTCAATAACTTCTTTTTCTGCAACTACTTGTCATTGTATCAAAATCCCTCAAAACAAATTCTTCCTTTTGTCCTTCCTGAAGCATGGGGAAATCTTCTCTAGAACCTGTAATATCCAGTGTCAGACGATGTACTGTCATGATGATAGGGGAGGGTATATGTAATATTCCTTCCCCTTGTAGTCCTAACAAAACAGGGTAGAATCCCTCTCTCTCCAGTGTGTCTCTTGAGGTTTTTAATTCATTTACAGCCTAAGAACCATGAGTGTTTTCTAACTGGAAATCAGGAAAAGGAGTGGGGCATATTGTTAGGAAATTCTGCTCGTAAAGTGCTGTAGAATTGCAAAGTATTCCTGACCCCACACAGTGCCAGGCATAGAAATAAAATTTTCACTGACTTCCTCTGCTGCTAGCTAGACCAAAACTTTTCCAGTGGAAACATGCACATAATTCATGAAAATATTGTTTGTCTTTGCTTTGTTGTATAGCCATGCTCATGTTCTTTTCTTTTTCAGGGATATCAGAGATGACAGATGCAAACAAACTGACAGCCGCTCTGCAACTCTCTGCTGGCTTCACGGTCTCGAATTTGGGCAGATTCAGTACAGAGGCAGAGGTAACAAACACATGGGCAACCACTGTGTGGGTCACAATGCAGTAAAAAAAATAAGATGGTGTTTTCTGTTGTTGTCATTTCAGTCTGAGAGATAAACTAGAGGCTGGTAGCAAACTGCAGTCAGGTTTTCTAAAAAGCAGTGGTGGCTATATTAGAATATAAATCCTACTCAAATGCATGAGAGAGATATTATCCCTTTTCACCAAGGAGCAAGGAATAAAAATAATGTGTGTGTTTTGTATCTGAATGTAGTGTTCTGAAATCTGTGTTCAGAGTTGGATTTTACAGTTTAGAGATTTCTGAAAAGGAGGCAGTAGGAAACAGGAATTGGAAAAGAATGTGAAAATAATAATCTATGAAAAAAAAAAGGTAACTCAGAATTAAGCCAGACAAGCCCAAATTGCAAAGGAAACAGATTTTAGCCACCATGGTTATTCAGCAGGGGAATATCCTAGCAAAGTCAGCTATGTGAGGTCCATCTTTTACGTCCTGGTAGAAGACAGCTTGCTTTTCTACAGGAGGCAATTCTGCCCCGCAGAAATGGTGCCTGAGCCCAGCACAAGCTAATCGGTTCAGCAGGACAGAAATCAAACAAGTGCATTTGCAGAGGTATGTTAGACCCAAACCTTGCTGTATTTCTGCATTTAAAAGCTTATAGAAGCCACCACCCACCTCCAGCTGGAAAAAAAATAAATCACAGTTATCCTTGGCTGTTGGTCACTGCTGGCAAATGGGGTGGATTTCTCTGTACAGAAATTCCAGTCTTTACTGGTTTCATCCAAGAGTTTTCCTGTTCTGGCAGAATATCATCTATCTTACTTTGAATGAGGTTTTTGCCACTTAGATCAACAGAGAATAGTCTTTGGATCTTAAAGCAGGGGGAAAAAAAAAAAAGGAAAATAAACAGTTCTTTTTATTAATGGAAACCAAGGAGCAAAGTTGCTGCTGTAAAACGGAGGAGCAGAGACTGCAATAACTGTATTTTTCAAGAGCATTTGGCAGGTTAGCTGGTGCTGAATAGTGATGACAAAATGTTCAACAAACCAAAAATATTCCATCTGTTCACTAAAAAATGGGATTCTGTGAAGCAAGACAAATAACAGGAAATCCAGAATTCTTTCCCTCCTCAAGACATTTCGACACTAGCAGCTCAACCCACTCACTTAACTAGTATTAAAAAGCATTAAACCCGGTCTTTGAAACCGATTGCATCTAGCCCAGGCCGCAGCGGAGAGGGGAGGGCAGGACACGGCGGGTGTGTGAAGGAGGCCTCAGAGATGTCGGTGTCCCGGCCCCGGGGAAGGGCCGCGCCCGGGGGCCGTGGCTGAGGGCTGAGGGCACGGCTGGCTCTGCTCCTCCGCGGGGATTTCAGCGCAGGAGGCAGGGCCGCCGCAGGCCATCTGCAGCCTCGGGAGGCAAGGGGAGCTTCGCTTGTGAAGAAACTCCAGCTGTTTGAGGCTGTGTGGGCTCTGCCGGGCTCTCCTCCCCAGCTGCCTCACACCCAGCCCTGCGGAGGGACGGTGTACAGCAGCAGCAGAGGAAACGGGCTGTTTACCCAACAATGCCATTTCACGGCTGGGTTTGACAGCAACTCTCTCAAAAGCTGTGAAAAATTCTCTCCAGGGAATCAATCTGGGACTTCCTTGAAGAAAAGTTGGGTAAAACAGACCTTTCTGAGATGGCTGTCACCTCCAGCCCTGTGAGCTCCTGACATGTCAAAGCTGGGGACAAGTGTTAGCTGTCTCTCTGGCAGAAATGCCCAGACTTTGAGCTGCTTGTGCTGCTAGAATATTTCACCAGGCGAATGTTTCACAAGCCTGGTTTGGCTAAATTCTGTTACTTTCTTTGGAGTACATTGCCTTTGGAGCACAACGTGTGGCCCCAAGGAAAAAGGCCAAGGACTTCAGACTTCAGTCACTATTTCTGTCCTCCCCTCCTTCCCCCCCACCTTTTTTTTTTTTTTTTTTTTTACCCCCTCAGGTAGGCCTTACTCTGCTTGTTTTCTCATCTTTCAAGCCTTTCAGCTGCTCCTGGGGCAGACACACAAATATCTTTCCGCTTTATCCTTACTCTGCCTCTCACTGTATGGGTATTTGGACAAGTGTTTAGGCTATTTCAAAGTAAAGCTGATAAAGATTTTCTTCTCTAAGCAGTGCTTAGAAAAACACTTAGGAAAGCACTGTTTCTTATTACATCTGCATATTCATTATAAATACATATAAAATTTGTTTTATTTGATTAGAATTCCTGTAAATCTAACTAGAAAATTATTTTATAGGAACAGAACAACAGGAAACAATCTTCCCTGCTTTGACTTCACATCTCTGCTTGTGCTTCTGCTTCCCTGGTAGTCAAGCATGCAAATACACATCGTGATGCCCTTCCAAAACCTCCCTTGCCTCTAGCCCTGATCCAGTCTCATACTGCTTCTCAGCAAAGACAGTTCCAATTTATACCCGTTTCCAACCATTTCAAACTGACACTTTTAATTCATCTCACTGTAGTTACCAAGGGCTTAGCACAGAGAAAAGAAAAAAGGAAGAAAAGGAATGAATACTGCAGTCTCCAAATTATCTGTCTCCTGTGACTGCTCTGAGCTGTGTTACCCCACCGTGGCATTTCTTGTATTTCTAGGTAAATTGATTTCCTTTCTCCCAGAAAAGGGGGGGGAAAGTCTGAAGATTCATTTTCGGCAGCATTTGAGAACTTATTTGGTTTTGGTAACCAACTTGCAGTCCATTTAAAGGGACAGCAGAGGTGACCAAACCAAGGAAGGCAGAGCCACAGTGGTTTCTGGTGTCAAGGTTTGGTGACGGTGGGATCATCTGTGTCCTGACACTGAATACTACACAGCTGCACACAGCAAAGTTGGTAGCTCACTGGAAAAGTCAGGTTTGGGCATTAAGGCTTTGAAGGATGAATGGAGATGTTAAAATTGAGTGACTTTACAGTAATGATTTTAAGTATAAAATTGCAATTGTACCAATTTACCCCATCCCTCTGGTAAGTGCTGTCTTTCCTCAGTGGGGGACACCAAATCTCTCCTGAGTTATTTCCACCCAGTTTTGGGACCATGAAAACTCATGCTAAGTAGGACATCACTCTCCCAGGTGCTGCATCATCCCTCAGCGGGATGTGATGATGTCAGATTTTATATCCTGTTATCCAGAGCTCCCCAGGTAGCAAGAGCTGGTTTGAAGACACAACGGGTTTTCTTTTTCTTTATCATTTTTGTTGTTTCATTTTGGACTCAGAAAGGAGTGTCAAAAAAGGAAATTGTAGGGGGAAAACTCTGCCTCTTTCTGAATGGAAATGAAACTGAAGTTTATGTGAAATCATTAGAAGATAATTCTGTGATGTTGCCAATTATTTGCTCATATTATGAATTACTCAGGAAAATACACTGAGATGCTGCATGCAGACAAAACCTGAATTTTAGCTAGAATAAATGCATTTCTATCAATGAAACCATGCTACTTTTTTTCTTGACAGAACATAATGTATTTTTAAGGAGAGATTATTGTTTAGGCAGGGTACTTTTCCCTAACATCTGCATAGAGGTGTCTCTTTTGGGATAAGATCTTGTTTATAAATGGGGCAGGCATTCTTAGCAGTCAGGAACAAAGAAAAGCATTTTTATTAGCAGCAGGAACCACATGAACAGCTTTGACCTCAATTTAGGATTTAGCTTATCATTTCACACAGAGGCTTGCATCAAGAATTTGACACTGGTGCCCTTTTCTAATTTGTAAAGCAAACTAAAGGGAAAATAATGGAGTACGGATAAGTGCTGTTCATGAACCACTGAGCAGGCTCTATTCCATTCTGTCCGAATTACTCCACAATCAGTCAGAAATCTCACGACAGACTAGGTTGTCTTTTTGTTGTTTTTATTCCTCTAGGAAAAAAAAAAAGGCAAATTAAACGGCCAGGCCTGTCTGTCCCTATCGTGCCGGCGATGAGGAGTATTGTGGAATCGGCATTCCTTGCACTCATTGCTGCATCTGTGGAGGGAAGCGCTGCTGGGGCACGGGGAGAATGTTCTCCTGCAAATATTGGAGCCGTGGTCGTGTGATCGCAGAGCAACCTAAGGTTAGGTCTTAAGCGTGGTAAAGCCCTGACAGCTTTGCTCCAATTGGCTCCATGACATTCCCTGCTCGGCCGTGATCCTAATGGCTTGAGACTGGCTGAATTCTTCTAACCCCAGCAATTAGTTTTCATTTTCTAGAACTCAGCTCACTTGAAGTGTTATTTTTTGCACGCAGAGGGCGCATGGGAGCTGGGGCTTAACCAGCCTGTTGTGTGAATTGTCTCCCAGGCAAAGCCCCAGTGCCCGATGCCCCCCGTGCTGACTCAGCCGGGTTTTTGTCCCTGATGGCAACACAAAAAGGCTTCACAAATTTCGCTAGTTTTCCCTGATCAAAAGTGCTGTGTGATAACAAAACTGTACAAATTATCTGAGCAGATGTATGATGTATCGATGTCTCGGCCAGAGAGAATTTTAGTCGTTGTCTCCATCTGAAACACGGCACAAGGCAAGCTCTAAATGTGTTACCTGTGATTCCCCCCACACAGAGATGATACCACCCATTTACACACCAAGATCCCATTCCTATGTGCCAGAGGATACACATCTGTGTTTTGCCATCACAAATTTAAATTTCTTTCCAGTCACATTTACATGGGCAGCCCTTCCCCAGTCCTTTACTCTCCTGGCACCGGCAGCTGAAATAAGGATGATTTTTCTAAACACAGACATACATCTGCATTGCTCAAAGTAATATATAGATACATAAAATATGGGAACTGCTGAGTGGCTTTTCCTCACACCACTGAGAAGCACGTATTTCCTCCATATATTTCATAGCACCAGGCATATGGCCCCAGTCCAGTGAGTTATAGGAGGTTTTGCTATGTGTGATTTTATGGAGAACAGCAGGAATAAGGACTCCTCAGGAGCTTTGCTTTCAGTCTGTGTTTTTCTGGTAGGAGGGAAGAGCAAAGGGTGCACAACATATCTCTTTGAATCAATTTGTGCATGTATGAAAAACACATGAAAACACACAAACCACCATCTGTTGACATTGTTTTGTATCATCCCTGGGAAGAGGAAGCATAAGGAGAGAGGTTTAGGCTGTGACTGTTATTAGGGAAAGCTGGATATAGGATAGAAGGAGAAAGTGAAGAAGAAAGCCAAAGCAGGGTAGGGCACAGACCTAGAGAAGAAAGCTAATTAAGTTCTCTTATAAATGAGCTAATAAGGACAAAATTTAATTTATCACTGTTTCCAGGCTGTGTCTGCCTCTGTCTCCTGTCCAGCTCTTCTGGGTTACTTGGTGCTCAACACCCTTGTAGATCTTAAGCTTCCCTGTCCTGCTGCCTTGGAAAGGTTCTGGAAACAGAGAGTGCAATATACCCTTCATGCTGTGCCTCACCACCCTCCTGCCACCAAGCATCAGGGTGCACCTTCATCTTTGCCTGTGAAGGTCAGCCTGTGAAGGTCAGCTCTCTCTGGGCACAAGTGTGGTTTGACTGCTGATTTTTCAAGGCAACTATCCTCTCTTTGTTCTACTTGTGATACACAACATTTTGAAGTGATGTTGTCTGTGATAACTCATCACAAGCACTACTTTTGAGGGGTACTTTGGAGCACAGGAAGAATAAGGTTGCATTGCCCACAGATCTGGCCAAACTGAGATGGCATCATTGGCAACAGCTTAAAGCAACTTTTGAGAGCAGAGCAGCACTCAAAGTTACATAGTGTTAAAACAGCCTTGTCCTTGGCTGAACATTAGCATTAGGAAGGTTTGCTCTGGGAATTCTTCACGAGCAAGACATCAGTGCAATAGGAGAATAAGGAATCGTTTGCAGGGAATCCTTGGCTCGCAGACAGCAGCCACGAGTGCAGGGACAGAAGATAGGATCACAGATCAAACTTGGAAATTTGAAAAAGCCTTCTTCCTAATTTAGTAGGCAAACAGCACACAGGTAAATAGATAAAATAAACATGGTTTTCTCAGGTACAACATGCCAGATCCATGTCCTGAGTGTGCCTGAGGAATATTGTGCAATGGGAATCAGGGATGATAGGGAAAAGCTGAGTCCTTGGCCAGGCAGGTAGGGTCCACAAGGGTGAGTATTTGCATGGCTTGGTGCTGTGGGGCCACGACAAGAGGTTGTGGCTGCAGTGATACTTTACCCATACGTCTCCCATCCCCAGCAGTAGTTGAAACACCATTTGTGTTTCCAGGCCCTTCCACAGCCCTTCTCCAAGGTTAGCTTAAACACACTCAGCAAAGATAACTCATCCTGCAGTTAGAAGAGGGAAAGGATCAGAAAATGCTCCCAGCCATTTCAATGTGTCTGTGAAATGACCCTCTTGATCTGATTGCTCTTGACTCATCGCTTTCCTGCTATCGTCTCTGTCGACAAGCTCTGGGAGACAGGACTGAGTCTCACTGCAGAAAAATAGGCAGAAAACCATGGCTCAGCAAGTTTGGTCTGGAATGGTAAAATCAAGTGATAATTTAATTCATTGCAAGCAAAGCAAGTCTGTGCTTAGCAAATTGCCCCTTCCTGAAGTCAGAAAACTCCTTGTGCCTCTGCTTTCTCCTCTACCTGCCAGTACTGCTGATGGAGAGGTGATATTCCTGTTGTGATAGTTCTTTCCAGTGACTCCTCAGATTTAATCTCCCTTCTGCAGCAGGTAGGAGTTAATTTTACAATTGAGAAAGACAGTTAAAATAACAGAGATTAATTTCCAAATTGTGGATGGAGGAGTAGGGAATCAGATGTGTCTCAGCTCCATGCCTGCAACCTATGGCCAGGACTGAGAAATTAGGAGAGTAGAGAGCCATGTGCTCACAGCTCACCTGGGGTGTGATGCCAAGGGGATACACCTTGTAGGCTGTAGAATCACACATTTCCAGAGGATAACCAGAGTACCACTGCCTGGA